GGCATTCCACTAGACTGCGAAATGTCGACTATTACACTGACAGTCCAAAAAACACGCGGATATAATTATTCGTATTCACAAATATAGTATGACGAGGCTACCAATATCGACCTCCGGGCCCTGTTTGTTGAATTCAGACGATGCAAATTGACTCACGTCTGCATCGGTAGCCGTATACATTAATATCCAACGTTAACAGAAAACTTACCGGTAATAGAGAGATACCACAACGACCAGACATACCAGAAACATCACGATGACTACAATGATGAGTATTTTCAGATTCGTCTCTGTAACATAAAATGTCATTAAAGGGTTGAGTGACATCAGTGTACTGTAATCGCGCGTGTTTATCTGCTAGATAATCCATTTGTCTTGTTTTGTTGGATGAAATTTAAGAGGCCAAACTACCTCCATGGAGCTAATTAGTCAGTATACGAACTGTATTAATTCACAATAGAGGAAGTGTGTTACGATCTCATTAGGAACATGGCGATCTCTAATCACAATAATTTAATTGATGAGCGACTGCAGTTGAATAAATATCATCACTCTCAACGCCTTTACTTACACCTATTCAAATCTCCATTACACTAATACGAGTAAAGAACATAAGTAAGTAATATCTTACCGATCTCATCTGGTGAACATAATTCATTAAGAAAACCACATACTGGAGTGTCTGGTGGCGGATCTGTGAGTTCGTTCCCCCATATAGGAACATCAAATACGTTTATGCTCTGTAAACATTATAGTCATGCATTTAACCAGTACAGTAACGCAATGACATGTAATCATTAAGTACAGTTCAACAATTCTATATTAATGGCATGGTTTGAAACATGGTTAGATTGTGTTGCTGAATTTTCTGACAATATACGAACTCTAGATAAAACAACATACATAATTCTCATTGCCTACAACGCGCACACAAATGGTTTCTTACCCGTTGCCCTGTTACATTGACACTAACTTCCATGATGGTCCCAAAAAAACCGTCGGATCTCAAATCTTTCACCCAATAGTTTGGTTCCCGTTCAACATTGTTATCCATCACCACGGTACCGGACTTCCCTACAACCCAAAATGGTCAGATCAGAAGCATATGCTATATTCATCTTGCATGTCACTGTACTAAAATCTAATTATACGCAATCTGAACATAAACCAGTGCCAAATTAATCGACCCAACGCCATTACAATGTTTGTGCTATGGCAGACTATCTTAGAAATGATTCCCCCAAAAGATATATCCCAGCTTTGTATTGTCAAAATATTGATTTTTGAAAATCTTATTTACGTTTAAGTTTGGACCTCAACATATTGTAATGTTTATCCATAACTACAAGTTTCACAAGAACAGGAAAACATGTCTAAGGGTATTTTAATCACATGAACAACGACACTGAACACTAAAGACGACCGATAAAATAACACGAGGTGGAAAACTAACGTGTCGTTAACCTACCGCTGAATACAATACCCTTCATGTTGTCAAACATCAATTCCCCATCTCGGATATCTCCTCCCATCTCGAGGGTTTTATTTGCAGCCATTGCATACAGAATCATCGCATCGTGTAGGAACGGACTGTATGGACTAGCCTGGAGAAAGTCAACGAATGCGACGACTTCATTGTTAGTGTAGACTGTTTTCAAATATTGTGTAATTGTTGGAATTTGTGTACCGCTTATGTGTTCATATGTAACTACTTTTGTCAAAAACTTATCGACGTAACATATTTTGAACACGACAAAATCTTGACATACAGGTAGAAGAGTATATTTTGAAGATAACTGCGCTGTAATAATACTTATAACACTAATACTTATAACGCCGTTACACCCGACTTGATATAGACCCTCTGTGTAACTTACCCTATTAATATTTTCAACCTAATTTGCCATTTTCCGGTAAACTACTTCCGATTGTAAAATTATTTAGACAGTTGATCTACATACTATTATGTGTTAAGTCTAATGCCTGTCAACAGAATTGAGGCTATATATAAACTATATTTTCTTACCGATATCTCAACACCGGCGTCAACAGTAATATTCTCTGGATTACCGGCAGACTTATTCAAAACTTCCTTCATAAACGCATACGTTTCTTCTTTATCGCGCTTAGCGTAGGAAATCTGAGAAGTAATAAAAAGAACATTTCTGGGGAAAATACATTTCAGGCGCAAACAATGAATCAACCAAAAAAGTGTTTATGTCTCTCAGTGTGACGTAATTACAAAAAAAAAAACGATTTTTATTTCGCCAAATGTTTTATGGTAATAAAATATTTTGGTTTGTAATATTTAAAACAATCCTCTCATTGTTATTTATTTGTTATTGTCAATCAGATTATTGTTTTATATTTACCTGAAACACTGACCCATATATGTGTCTTGCGTCTCCATCCCGATCATCCCCAGCAAACCAGGGTTGGATGTATTGATCAGCATCAAGTAATTTAACATTTAGGAACACATACTCCCCATTTGACATGCCGATATCATGTGCCAATAGTAAGAAATGACGCTCCAACGCGGCAGAAGCACAGAATATGATAACTGTTTGTTGTACAAAAAACAAAGATGGAAGAATTCAATAAAATATACAATTACATTACAAATCTACCTATATAAGAAACAAAAATAGTATACGCATTGTTTGGAACCTTTGACTACAAGACACCCGTGAAAGAGGCTACGTTATCTACCAGACCGAACCCGTCTTTGTATAGGTTGCGTTCTATAATAGCCCAACCCTGTTTGACGAGGTTTTGGGGACCAGAAACTGGAAGGCGTTGTACGACCAACATTTTTTGTCTGATACAGCTGTATTGGTTAACCCGCAATGAGATACTCACTTCTGCCAACAAGTTTCGTTTTCTTCCAAAGTCTTATCATCTCACTGTCGGTAATGTCCAAAGTAAACGTATCATAATCAACCACTCTGATTCCGTTTTTGATCAGGGCACCATTTGCTGCTTCTGATGAATACGAACACACAGCATCCTCCGATGACAGGATAACCTAGACAAAGGAAGTACAGTTTTAACACTAAAAAAATAAGTTTAAAAATAGTCGTATGTAAGGCGAGTTTATAATTTCATGTCATTCACCAGTATAGTTTCATAATTGTATTACAATTCTAAATAATAATGTATAAGTGGATAGGAAATATATTATTTAAATACAACCCAAAAATGCTTTACAAATACTAGTGAATGTGTATAATTGATAACTTGTAGCACGCATGCATGAAATATGTGATCCGTACGAACATTCGACTTTGAGTAGTGTTCCACAAATCAACTACAATTACAAAAGATTTTTCAAAAGTTCAATTCCGTAATTCATTGGACGCATCGACGATTATTCCAAGGAGCCTCAGTCTCTAGATCAATACTCACATTCGTGCTCAATGTTTATCAACATAAATTGCTCACACGCGTGATATGAGGGCCCTTTAACACAATGTTGCATCGTATACGCACCGTTCTATTCCAACCAAAATATCGAAAGATATCAACAAATGCCGGTCCCATTTTACTAAAGGATCCCAGTGTTCTTCCCAGCGTTGTGTACACTGTCTTGTCGGCTAAAACTGGACTTGTCGATACCCACGAGATGTGAGGTAGATTCCATTGTGATGTAAGAAGTCCCAGTGGAATGTTTCCTAATACAAATAAACAGGAAATTTCATGAAGTGTTCATCACATTCAGTTTATTGAATGAGTTCAGTACTTTACATTTGTTCCTAGCAACTGACAATGTATTATTATCTTATATATCCCATTCAAAGATTTAAATTGCACAATAAACACAGAAGCGTAATCATGCGAGTGTGTATGGTGGCTGGTTACGCAATATGATTGTTTATTCATTAATACGTTTGTTTCAAATGAATAACGTAGCGAGCGAGTAAACGCTGGAAGTATATGCAACATTTTTCTACCTAACAGAAATATGCAAAATAATATAATTACTTAAAGAATTAAATCGCTTCAAGATATATAGTGTAAATCTATGAAGAGATATTGGCGAATGTTGAGCTTGTTTGCCACTGTGTAAAAAATCCGCTTGCATTGACCAATTAGATTACTGGAATTGGTTTTACATGTTATGTAAATTCCAATATCGAATTTTTGGTTATAGGAGTTTTTGTGATAAACATTATTTTTATATTTGTATGCTGCCCTCTATATCTTATCAGTGTCTTTTTTATGTTATGCACGATTTCGCCTTGTTAGTCACGATAATGTTTTATAGGAAATACGTGGTTTGCTGTATAATGTCTGGATAAACCATGAGGGCTGATGACTGGCTGCACTGCAATGTTCTTATTATCGTTCACATTTTATGGGTCTGGTCGGGTTGTTACATTTTGGTACATTTTGCATGCATGCATGCTGGCAGGCAGGTAATTGAAAATATAATTTTCAGTTATGTCCTGTTTTATAAAGTTTAGTTGAGTTTAGTGCAATAGTCAAATTTGTGGCAGATTTAAATTGTGCATTATGAATTGTTACAATTTTGTCTAATTTTTACACTGGGATATTATGCTGTGTTGCTGCAGATGCAAAAAGCGATAAGAGGTGCCGTTGATAAAGTGTTATGGACTGAACGACCACAAACAGGACAAATAGTTTGATATTAATTAGCAAATGTAAATATGCGCTGCTTGGCAAATTTAACTTCGATGTATGACATATAAACATATACTTACCACTGGAACAAGGGGAACCAATCATTACATCTATATTTTCCTGGTAGTAAAATTCCACTCCAGCGTACAAAGTATCTTTTGCACTACAGCCAGTCCCATGCACAACCCTGTTAATAAAACGAGAATTTGTTGAGTTGACAGTAATCTAAGTATGAATGATTATTAAAAGTACACTTTTCATAGTGTAAAGTTATTATAACTCGTGAATACGAACTTGGAGATCCAACAGCGTGAATCGAAATTAATTAACATAGGGTTTCAGAAAAAAGGATGCTTAATAACCGAGCCTATTACGTGCAGATCGCGGATCGCGGATCGTTTGGACGGATTTCATGTTCTCTGCACGTAATAAGCTTGGTTATTAGGCATCCTTTTTTCTGTTAACCTGTATTTAAGACTCTTATTGATCAAGACATTTTAAAACATCATTGGTGTTAATCCCCCACCCAAGGTGATTTCCCCATATGATAATGGTTGCATGCAATATTAAAATAAAGATGGCGGACTATAGCGTTGATTCATCTCGTTGTACTCTGGATTACTCGGAGCAAATAAGGATTCTAGAAATTTTGTATTTATTTGCCTATGTGTTTTTTTTGCAATGTGTTTGACTTTTTTATATGTTTGTGGCTATTCATTGCTTTGCATATTGTCTGCGTCAGCGTAGTTTGTGATATAAGCCGTTATAGCTGTTCAGGGCACTGTACTGCAGCTGGTCGACAACAAATCAGTCCTTTGCAATGCTTCAGTCAACGCTTTTCTCGACTATCCATATTGTCAGGCGATATGTGGCAGGTGTGGCATATTTAAAGTGGGTTTAAACATCCTTATCATCACTGAGAGTGAGACAATTGTCACATTTTGTGCTCGAATAAAATGTTCTCTATCCGTTTGTATTTATATACATAGATGTAGTTTCCTTTGTTTGAATTAAATTCACTGGCATCGTACATACAGGTCACAGGGACCTGACGATCTACTCTCGTCAATACATGGATGTTTATGGGGCGGTACAGGGTCTTACCATTGCTCAAAATAATGGAAATGATATAATTAGTTTGGTAATGTAAATGTATAGTCCGGGAGCCAGCGACCCAATATTCATTTCCGTTCACCCCGCCAACTGGCAAAGGTTTGATGGTGCGAAAGTGTAGTATGGACCTTGCACATTATTGTACAGGTGGCAGTATAACTGTCCAAGTGGGCATAAGGCCTGTAGACCCTCTTATGACCCACCATTGATCCCTATCAAAGACGGATTAAATAATATATTTTTTTTTCAAGGATTCTAATGTGTTACTGAGTATTATAGGTTATGTGTGTTGTTAAACTGAGGATCATAAGCAGGCATATTTATATCGATCAAAATAAATATAATATTGTCGTTACCATGGTAACAGACTACGCATATTTCCCCCAAAATGGGGAAAATACACATTAAAAACTGCATTTTAAATATCATTTGAGTTATGTATCTTGTTCTATTGAATAAATACATACAATAGTCTACAATCACATTTTGTCAAGTTCTTGATTGCATCGATCAAGTGCAGACATTTTGAATGCTTTTATTGTTCATCATATAATTCTTTGGTAATGTTTTTGTTTTAGATGACATAATTTCCTTCAGTGGTCCATTGTAATTATCAAACAAGATACTCTATTTCGAAAATTCTTTATGGAAGTAGATAGCAATTAGCAGGCAATTGGACCACATATTCATTTGTAGTGATTTAGGTAAATTTAGTTTAGTATACATGCAATATTTATTTTATGATAGATTTGTAATACATGTGTTTTCAGGTGAAAATGATTTCCCTATTAGTGGTGCAGTGCAATTATCGAACAAAGCTACTATATGATTTTTTTAAAGGTAAAACCCAGATGTCATATTATTGCTTAATATTCATTTGCAAACATTACTGGCTATTGTTATAAGTACAAGTTACATATAAGATTCCTTGTATTAATTTTTGCAGGCTTTTATAGAGTAGGTTCAAGTAAGTTATAAACAAGATTTTTATAGGCAGCTGTAGAGCAGAACAAAAGCAAGTAATATGGACCAGGATGTCACAACAAGTCCAGGAATAAAGCTAAATGCAAAACGAAGTAGACAATCTACTAGGTTTAGCAAATGTGTGAAATGCCAAAAGGACCTAACAGGACAAAAACTACAGAGTGGGAGTTTTAAGTCGATATCCAAGTTCTTAGAAGTCGCTAGAATTAGGAATGACGAAATATTTCAACGTATTGAACCAGAGAGTTCCAATAAATGATTCTCAGTGGGGAATGTAAAATGGCACAAAGCTTGCTATGCCAGTTATACAAGCAGTAGAAATGTCTCTCACTTAAGTGGAGCTAGTTCAGAAGTCCAGGATGGTCCATCTAAATATATAGGGTTGCAAACCAGAAGTTCACGTACTGTGACAAATTGGTCATTTTGTCTAGTTTGTCAACAGGCAAAATGTAAACAAGAGCGGGAAACATCACAGGTCTTGACAACACAAGTCCACAAAATGCTTTTAAATGCTGCTCAATACAGAAAAGATGACATTATGGTTCGAAGAATATTAGGTGTTGATCTAGTTGCACTTGAGGCAAAATTCCATCGAGGATTCTATCGAAGATACATAGCTGTACCATCATCTACAAAGTCTAGCACATCCTTGGAATATGATGCTGCATTTCAAAGCTTAATTGATGAGGTCGAATCAAAGCTTATCCATGAAAACAGAGCGTTTGAGATGAATACCCTTCTAGAAATGTTTCAAAAGCACCTGGTGGCACAAGGAATGGACAAAGAAACAGCTCAACAATACAGGACGCAGAAGTTGAAAACTCGATTTGTCAACAAATTTAAAGATGCAATTCTATTTTATCCTCAAGTTCAGAAAAATAGGAGTGAACTTGTTTGTAGCTTCTCTTTAGACATTGCAGAACTTATCAACATTCTTGCAGACCCACTGACAGGGAAAGTGTTGGAATGGATACTGTTACACAGGTTTTGTACCATGCAGCTGCCATTTTACGCAGCGAAATGAAAGACACATCTGGTATTGAAATACAGCCTCTGAATATCTCTGATCTAACAATGAAGACAGCTGATGAACAGGTTCCAAACAAGCTAAAGATGTTTCTTCACTGGTTAATGCAGCCTCAGCGCCAGTTTACTCAACACAATGATGATACAGGCCAAGATTCTGTTGACATACATAAGATTAACATGGAGAGAAATGTGCTGAGTATAGCTCAAGATATAGTTACTACCTATTCAACTGGTCGAAAAAAATGCCCAAAAATGTTGGATTGGGAATAGCAATGCGAAACATGGTTAATGGCAAAGAGATCATTACTCTTCTTAACCGTCATGGTCACAGTATTAACTATTGGGAGTGTGAACAAATCGACACAAGCTGGGCAGCTGGAGTTACTGGTGCATTTGAAGATGAAGGTGGTTACTACAGAGCTGTGTTACCAAGTAACATCATACCAGGAACATTTGTTCAAAGTGCTGCAGATAATGCAGACTTCCTACAGGATACACCAAGTGGAAGAGATTCTGTTCATGTTATGAGTATTGCCTTCTATCAATCAGGATTTGCTCTGTCACCAGATAAGCTTATGCACCAGCCTCTAACCACTTCCCGTGTAAGGCAAAGAACTCTGGAGTCGAAAACCACAAAGTTGTATGACTACAGGTTGGGGAACAAGAAAGTAATTCCAACAATTGTCAAGCAAGTTAAGTTGGGCTTTTTTCTTCAATGTGGTGAAGAACGTGAACGTTTCCGTCAGCTGGACATTGCTTGGATTTTTGCAAGAAACACACCAGCAAGGATGCTTGAAGTAAATGTAGTTAGAGAACCACAGATGGTGCCAGGTTGGAGTGGATTTAATGCACTAGTAACAAATTCATTCTTACAACCTACTAGGATAGGTTTTCCTCCTATGATCCCAGCATCAGTGAAAGACATGGCAACTGTGTACACATGTCTTACTTGTCTGGAGAAGACATTCAGAAGAGATTTGCACCAAGAAAATCCGGTAATTACAATTGATAAAGACCTTTATGCAAAAGCCAAGCAAGAACTTCCTTGCTGTTATTGGCAAGAGGATGGCAGAATCTGGTTTGAAAGATGTATGGTTAGAGAGTGATGTTTATGGAAGTTCTGTTGCATCCAAGATAACAAGTGGAACCCATTACAATAGAGGTGTGAGGGCACACAAGCTTACAGTAGAAGCCCTTGAAAGATTACGCTGGCAAGAGTTCAGTCAATGGCTTGACAATCATGGCCATTTAGATGAAGACATCGAACTCAAACTGAAACAGAAAAAAACAAGAGCTTCTTCACGAATTGCAACAAGGAACATGCCATATGTTCCACTCTACATCCTCTATTTACCAGATTCAAGTCATCAGAGTGTGAGAAATCTGCTCTGTTCTGTTTCTGGGATGAATATATAGACATGGTGTGGCTTCTTCTTGATTTCATTAGAGGGGATAGAATGTCTAATTGGACCTTGCATCTGGCAGCATTCAATGATATGATAGAATATGATGCTGCATTTGATCATCTGAATTATTTCAAGTGGGGGATAGTCTACATAGCTGATATGAAGTTATTGCCAACTACAGCTCCAGAAGTTAACAAAGCCTTCAGGGAAGATGGGTTTCATGCTGTTCAAAGATCCCGATCCCCATCTACATTTACTGCTGTTGCAGCAGATATGGCATTAGAGCAAACACAGAACAAAGATGTAAAATCTAAAGGTGGTATTATTGGTGTGTCTAGCTCAGATGAAATTCGCAATAGATGGGCCCTGACAGCTCATATAATGGCAGCTGCTACAAGTGCCTTCAAATGCATGAGTGGTATAGAATCAACAGAACATACTCATAAAGAACTTGGTTCATCACGTATTAAGGCAGATGAAGAAGATGTTTGCATGATCCAGGAGTGCATCACTGGGAAGATGATAAATCCATTTGATACTTTTTTGTTTGATGGTGATAGATTGTCACTCATTAATATTGCCACAGGAACTGTTGCTCCAGACAACATATCATCATCTCTACTCATGGCCAAGACTCTCGGACAGATTGTGAAGAAAACATTCATAGAGGAAAGACTTGTTGAAGGGACTAAAAGCTTTTGGGCGCCATTGAAGAAATCTAATGTCAAATCATTTTCAAGCTTAACAAAACCAATTAAACTTACCAAAGAGAAACAAGCACTGAAAACCATTAATATTGACAGGGAAATATTCAGTCGGCTTGTAGTTGTGTCTGAGCAAAGGGATATCGATCTGCAAGAGATTCACTCCTATGAACTGGCTCCAGTTCCACTCTTCTTGGCCAATTTGGATGGCACATTGCGAAAGACCTGCAAAAGCACCCTTTTGAAAGAGCTTGAAATTGAATGTGAGTCAACTGATTCACTACCAGAAACAGAAAAATATTCTGCATATATTATCGATTTATTAGCACTGATTCAAATGATGTCCAAGGGAACAAATATGACATTTGGTGATCTCTCAGATGCACTTGCACAACAAATACTATACAGCTATAAATATGCAAATGAAGTTCATGTCGTACCTGATAGATATGATGTCAAGCACTCTATAACAAGACAGACAGACGAAGTCAATCTAAAACTGTAGAAGTTCGGATAAAGGGGGGGGGGGTGGGAGAAACAAAATTGCCAGCCAATCTGAAGAGCTTTCTTTCTAGTAGCAAGAATAAAATAAACCTCCTGAACTTCCTAGTCAAAGATTGGTGTGAAATATTTCCACATCACCTAACAGATACTACAATATTATATCATGGTAAACATGATGGAAAAGCGATAAAGATTACCATCACAGGATATGAGAAGATCCCATCACTGAATACTGACCATGAAGAGGCTGACAGTGGAATCTTTGTACATTGTGCATACTTTATACATGGATTTGATGAAGAAAAGCGTGTGATACTCCTTTCTCCAGACACGGATGTTGCAGTGTTATGTTGCTATCATTTTGCCTCTCTCATGGTAAATGAATTGTGGTTTCATACAGGTGTTGGTAGGCAGAGGCGGTTTATCCCTGTTCATAGTGTCGTAGCTAATCTTGGTCCCAGATTATGTGATCTACTGCCAGTGCTGCATGCATTATCCGGTTGCGACTCCACAAGTAGCATAGCAGGAATAGAAAAGAAAAAAGCGCTGAATGCCCTGAAAGCCAATGTCAATTTGTTACACAATTTAAATGGTATTGGGTCACATCCATGTCATATTGATGATGAGTGTTTAGATGCAGCCAAACTGTTGATT